GTGTTTAGTAAGACATCTGTCATCTCAAGGCTTCTCGTATTCCCTCTTGCTAGTTTCCAGTCCTTTATTTCCTACAAAGCGGTGCCATATTTCTCCATACGCTAGTTTTTATGAGGTAGGTGTTGTGAATGCTGTTTTATCTCAAATGCAAGGTAGATGCTCATTTTCCACAAATCTATTAATGGTAGGCTACGAGTCTACCCCAGAGTAGACGAGCAGAATATTTGCTGGAGGCGACCCCTAACCGCATCCCATATACTTCCCCCTCACTTGATTGAAGGTTTTGGCCTAAATGACTCTCAAGATAGAAACCGCATAAACGAGTGGACACCCACGCAAGAATGCACGAGTATTTTCGTAAACGCAGAATGCGCTTGTGAAATCGGCGCAGCAGAAAAGAGAATCCGGTCTATGGATCCATGTTCGTTATGGAAAGCGTTCCTCGCTACAAGCCGACATGTGAGGTACTTCTAAGAGGGAGATCCATGCATATAAGTGCACCTAACGTGCGTATATATGTACGAATTAGTACAAACATCCCTCACTGAGGGGTTCCGAGGAGGTTCACTTCAAAGCTATGTAGCGTGCGCGAAATTAGAATTTGTTGCCGATGTGAGGTGCAGGTGAAATAGGAGCACGGGCTTCTTGTTTCATCCGGGGTATTGAGCAAGATGATAATTTCGTGGGAAAGAAAATAATGGAAATATGTGCTGGAGCGGTACCGATGAAGAAAATCACACTTCCTTGAGCAGAAATTTCAGTAGTTCATTGTTATCGGAAAAACTCTTTTCGAGCTGCACATTCGTAGTCAGTAATTTTCACATGTGTTCCTCAGATTGACTGCTGAACATAGCTAATGTAACGCCTTGCTCGCAGCGTCCTAGTTGTACACCCGTATAATGTAAACGATCTCTATATGCTGGTATTAGGATAGATTAGTGGCAGGCTTATGAATTCGTCCAGAATTAAATACAGTACCATTCAGTTGCAAAGGGAGCAATTTATTAATTAAACACCGCCGTAAGCTGTGGAACTCGAGCACCTTTACACAGGCACAATCCGTGAAGATCAACTTGAAAATGAACTGTGACAGTGGATGCAAAGTCGGCAGGCTTGTGTTGTGGAATGCTGTGAACTCGATGAAGTCTCCACTTAATAGTCGTTTTTCTAATTGCGAAACCCTTATACTGTTACAAACGCTGTATAGTATCACAACAGCTGTCTTTCACTCAAACGAACCAGCCCTTACTGCATCAGTCACAGTTGTCAACGATTTCCAATTTATGGACCCATTGCCAATAAAGCTCAAAGTGGACATCATCGGATAAAATTTTCGTATAAATTAAGTCTTTTGTCGGTCAAAAATAAGGTCTGTTCTCCGTGAAGCAATTTTTCCATTACTTAGTCGGGCAAATGTTCACTACTACAGAGGGTGCGAAGAAAAAATTAAGTGCCGGTCTGTTTGCCTGTCTCTCTCTCTGTCTGTATATCAGCGAAGAGAGAAAGTTATTGGTCCTGTGTGACTGTTAAAAGATGCTGAACTGAGAAAAGGGAGAAAACGCCGCTTACAGTGGGACTGGTGGAGCATTGGAGTGGTTGAGAAGTTTGCATATTCATAAAAAATACCTTGCTCACTGCCTCACCAATTCTTGCGAAACACTCACCCGCCTCGCCTCTACTTTTGCTTGGAACATAATTCGACAAAGATCAAAAACAGGATTGGAACTGCCTACGTTTTGCTAAGTGTGGCAATCGCAAACACCAACGGTACACTGTGGCTCCAAAAATTCGTCGTGATGAAACAGAATTTGAACGTTATTGGCAAGGATTTCAATATCCTAGTGGTCTCTATTTCACTTAATGCAGTTCGCTGTGAGGTGAGCCCTGAAGTACTGCTATAACTTTCAGCTCAGAAACTGTTCCGTCTACTAGCATTAGAGATATTACATTTTACAGCGTCTTTCTGTCAAAAAATGAAGGATCCAAGATAGCACATCGTCCTTCTAATTATTAAAAGCGCTATGAAGAAGCCAACTTAATTTTGACACTCAGTGAAGGTTTTGCACATTCTACTGCAGGATTGATCGAAATATTACACGACGAGAGCGGCAAGAACCACATTGTAAAAAAAATTCGACGTTCGTTAAAGCGATGGCGAAGTACGGTGGAAGATGAAGTACTAATGTATAAGTACTATAATGTTGTCCCCTGTCAACAGGCTAAGCGGACGGAACGCGGATGATATGAGGAGCTGTCGCTGTTGTGAATAATCAGTTTCGTCTGTCAAGTGATCCATACACACCTTCACATGTAGGGCAATGGCTGATCTGTTATCGACAGATTTCCGTGTAAACAGAGTTTCAACTAAAACCCTTAGCTTCCTCGATGAACAGTTTACCATGAAAAGAAATTTAGTGCTATTCAAGTAGAAGTTGTTGTGAGTCTCTAACCACTATCGGATCATCATTTAAGGCTAATATGACTAATATCACACATCTATAATATACTTGCAAAAAGCCAAATCAGTGCCCAAGAGAACATATTAATTCAATGCCTCAATAAAAAGATATAAACGAATATATCCTCCTCTCAGCTGTTTTGTAAAGTCTTTAACATGTCTTTAACATAACGAATTTCTGGATTGGACTTGAAAAATTCTACGATTCGACAATGTTTTGGTTTTTAAACAGAAATAAAGAAACAGTAGCTTTCCGTAGCAAAATATTTGTGGAGACCAGCACCACCGAAACAACACTTTAAGCAAAAAAATATATCAGCAGAACGATAACAATTGACGGAGTGCACCAGAAGTAAACATGCTTCAGACGATAACATGCTCATCACACTAGAGACATCTACAGTGAACTCTTTACTGCAGATTCAACAGCTCCATGCGTCAGCTCAGTTTTAAGACGTTCTTCCTCGTCAGCGATTGGGGAGCGCAAGTTTTCACGAAAACACACAAGAAGATGCTCACTTGTAATGTCAGTGATCTTCGATCGAATATGTTAACGATAAAGGAAACCGTGGAAATGTCACGACTGAATGATACGTATTGGACCAAACGAGATCAATAGAAATTGTAAAGTGTATCGTGACCAACTAACTACCGTCATGTAGTAACCAGTGGTCTCCTTTGCGTATTTTTTTTTTGTGGAGTTCAGTCGGCTAACTAGATTGAGCCTCTGTTACATCAAAATTCAATAAGTGACCTGCGAATACGCCAAAAGCACAGGAAATAAATGCCATCGTGCAAATAACACTAAGTCACTCTTTTCGCTCGAGAGAGCGCAACCAGCTGAGGAACTATTCATTGCGATGGGTCCGAATGAATATTTACCAATGTTTATTCGAATTATTCGATCATTAATCAGTTCGGAGCAGTCTCAGAGAACAAAGCAGGCAACGACATCTTAGAAAGAGGAGGAGGAAGCGGCGTTAAGCAGGCAGAATTTTAGCGCCTTTTCCCTAGCGCGACGGCGCACCATTTTTGTGGCTGGTCCAATGGAACACGAGCAATTTGTCCTCGGCTGCGAATTTTCTAGTTTTTCAGCAATAAGAACTGTTTTTTTTAGTAACTAAAGAACTTGGGGTGTTAAACAAGGCGGGACTTCAGGAAGACTTCGCTCTATCATTTCATGGAAATGAATGGTATGTATTCTCCTACCTACAATGTGTTATGGTTATCACACAGTTATATCGCCTTTACTATTTGGAAGCATTTTGCGCCTTATGTTAAGTTTCTTTCAGTATTCCTATAGCCACACAACTCATGAAGTAATGATGACAACTAAAACCAAATAGCTGTTAATTTATGGTTAGCTAAACGGTTAACGAACCTTCTGCAAGAAAGTTTTCGTTTGCAAATCACGAAGTATGGCGAATGGCTTTTTTGTTTTCACTCCTCTTACTTTTATCTGCTTTTAACTGTCTAGAGATAAAAGTGTAGTAAGAACATTCTAAAACCACCAAACTGAAAATGGACGTCATAGCGGCTACATAGTGCCCAGGCCCTCAACAAATAGGAACACTATGATTTCCACACCACGAGTTAACGGAACATTTTACATTAAAAACGGCAAAATTTCTTAAAAAAGAAAAATATAGATCTTAACCGACGTTCTAGATCTTCTTGGTTGCTCGTTGCATAGACGCTCATGTTTTGGTTATTTTCGCTAATTCTTGGTACATTGGACGTAACGCCATCCTACAAAAACAGTAGAAAATACCGAATATAAAAGCTGCAACCACCGTAAACGTCATTCTAAAACTGCAACAGTTAGCAAACATACTGAGCTGGAAATATAAAAATTTAGCAATGGATTCACCACCATCGTTATTGTTGTGCAAACGTGTAGAACACGAAGAATTGTATAGATGGGCCCAACCGATGTGGGTCGAGTCTACAGCTCGCCACTCTTACAGTGAGTTTAAAAGATGGAGTTAAGGCTTTTTTTTACATCACAAACGAAACAGAAAACTGGCTGAGACACGCGAAGCGAAGGAGCCGTATTGTGCAGTGGTGAACGTGTTTGCCCCAGAAAGGGTAATAGCGCAATCGCTCACCACCGCAGACACCTGCGGTCCGGGGTTTCGCAAATACTCTTCTACTCTCAAAGGTTACTGTCACATCGTTGTGTTTGCATGATTTATAACGTTTTTCAAGAGTGACTGCCAGCTTAAAAATTTTAGCTATTCGTCACACAAAAAGGAGCCAAAAAGGGCTAAACACAGCTTACCAATAAAGTCAAATAATCCTTAGAAAGGTGACCAGTGGCATCACCTAGATCCTCCAGATGTACATGGTTTTGTTGCGAACTTCGCGCAATTTTCTATCGCAGGAGAACGGCGTCGTTGAACTTGGCACCAATGCCTTCTTTTAACCAGGTGCCAGCGTTGTCTATTTCTCACATCCGTTACATTTTAACAGCTAATAAATTCGCATTTATCAGTGGATAAGCGCAGTTTTATATAATATATTTATTGTCGCAGAGTAAATTTTAGAGGGCTGGTGTTGTTGCGTCGAACTCAACACTTTCATCTTTTTGAGAAGATTCAACGAGGATCATCATCTCTTCCAAATGCTTTCGCATACATTCGAGGAAGGATTCCATTTCTTTCTGACGCAATTTCTGCTCGTCTTCCAGTTGTTTTAAGCGTGAATCCCCTACTTTATCCCTAAATAAAACCAGGTGTAAAGATTAGTTTATTAAATTTGATATTCAATTTTTACCTTTCCAAAAGCCAATCAGCGTTGCACTTCCACTTAAATAGATCCTTCTCCATGTATGCAAGCTTCTCTTTCCTCTCTTTCAAAAGGTTTCGGAGCCTTTTCTCTTCTAGTGTTTGCTCACTAAAATCAACATGTTGAGTACTCTCAGTCGTGTTGTGTCTTAGCCACCAATCAAAAGTGTGCACACTCTCATACTGAAGGAGTGGAGAATAGTGAACAAGACAACTGTAACTGGAGCACGATTTCATGTTATTGGTGTCTGATCCCACAAAAGTTTTGCTTTCAATAAAAAAAAGTATTTTCAATAGCAGTGAAGATCACAGTGATGAACGCACTTGGATACAGTGCTTGGATACTTCAATACGTGGTTGGCCCATCTTCACTGGTTGTGTGGGTCCCAGCAAAATCTGCATTTTTTCTGAGTTCTGCTGGTTTAGCCGCTGTGGTTCCTTGGTGTCCCGAGGTTAATCGTGCCAACGTCTCACCCGGTCGTCACCGCTACAGGCAATCGCCGCGCTTGTGTATCAGAGATGTGGATGTGGATTTGTCACCATGCCACAAGGTTGGTATCGATTACGCATGGTGTTCAAAACGAGCATAATAGTACGACGTGATACCTGCAAAATCGGCCAAGCGTAACTAATAGAAGAGAATAGAAAAAAAGACTGTCTGGTTTTTTTTCGAAGGTCGACAGAGTAGTCGTTGAATAGAATAAGCAAATAAGTGGTCATCTAGTGTATCTATCGCTCGGGCATGTTTAACGAACTCTCCAAAAAAACCGTGCATGAATGCACCTCAGAAATTGCGCTCTACTTCGCAGCCGTAGCAAAAGCCGGAAATTACTGCATCACTATATATAAGTATATATACTATAAGGGCAAGTGTCGCGCAGTGGTCGGAGGCGCCCTGCAACAGACACGTGGGATTGATCTCCGAGTCCTAGGCTCAACAAGCCTTCCACCCTTCCAGGGTCTGCAAATTGGTACCAGACTTGTCTGGGAGGATAGCAGCACTGGCTCTATACATTGGTAGTCCACCGCCAGTCGTTGTAAAAGCAGTCGCCCGTTGATACGTTGAATGAGAAACCGCCGAAACTTTAGCCATAATAAAAGTTTATAACAACCCTGTGTTAGCTCTTGAATAAGGAAAAAAATAATTACATTTGGTTATGCGAGTGATAATACAAGCAACATACCGATCTTTTTGTTCAAACCATGCATTCCTTTGGAGGTCTATGCTGTTCAATGGGAGGAGCTCTCTCCGGCCTCCACCTGGATGATCTTTGTTTTTAAATGACGCTTGTGGAATTGAAACATCGTTACCGTGGGACTAGCACTATATTGTAGAAAAGCAGATTTTTGCACATACCTGGCGTTGGTGGGAGTCTCCTTCTTTCATGCATTTGTAGTGGTTTTGGCGAATTCTCGCACCATGTGTGTCCAGCGACCAAAGCTGAATCGGAGACACTCTTCATGTTTCACACTGGCTGATTGGATGCCGCTAGAATACAGTAGGTGTAGTTGCACTACACGTATATACATCCTTGGTCACATGCTATCTGTCACTATCAACGTAACACGACGCCGATATCATAGTTTACTTGGTTAAACATGAAAAACAGATTATCATCAGCAGAGAATCAGTCACACTCATCAACAGCCCTGTATAAAAGGGCGTTGCCGAGTGAGTTTACTCCACATGAACAGCACCCAGAGGTTAGCGCATAACACAAGCACATAACACGTATTGCAAACCCGTTAACGATACGAAGCGTGCGGCATGAGGAAACGGCCGAGTGGCTTCGACTGGCGTGGGTCGAGAAATCATGGATTCGCTAGCTCGGCACACGTGGGCGAAAGCGAAACAGTGACAGTTACTTCGCCAGCAAGTCCTCAATGGGCGAAGGGTACGCGATAGCGATTTCCACCGTTGAACAATCAGTGAATTTCGGCCATGGCCAACAAACGGGTTGGTCAACAAGAAAGTCGGTTCAGGAGGAGGTCCGTACGCTATACATAGTTAGAATATGAAACTTTCAACTTTGATGTATAATGCTGAGATATTTGCAAAACTCCGGACCGCAGGTGTATACGGTGGGAAACGAACCCGTGCTGTTGTCCTTACCGGGAAGCAGCGCACTTCACCACCACACCAACCAGGTCCTTCGTTTTGCCTGTCTCTCAGCTAGTTCTATCGATCTTTTTTGCCATCAGCAATCACCCGTCAACGGGATTGATTTGGGGAGCCCAAATCGGCAATGAATCTAGTTAAGCTAAGGCTTACTTATAATCACAATCTTAACCTTTTTATTTACTGCCTTTTTCTTTTTAATGGCTGGCAGTGCATGTTGCGCAATTTCTGAGGTGCATTCATGCACGGTTGTTTTGGAGAGTTCGTTAAACATGCCCGAGCGATAGATACACTAGATGACCACTTATTTTCCTATTCTATTCAACGACTACTCTGTCGACCTTCGAAAAAAACCCAGACAGTCTTTTTTTCTATTCTCTTCTATTAGTTACGCTTGGCCGATTTTGCAGGTATCATGTCGTGCTATTATGCTCGTTTTGAACACCATGCGTAATCGATACCAAACTTGTGGCATGGTGACAAATCCACATCCACATCTCTGATCCACAAGCGCGGCGATTGCCTGTAGCGGTGACGACCGGGTGAGACGTTGGCACGATTAACCTCGGGACACCAAGGAACCACAGCGGCTAAACCAGCAGAACTCAGAAAAAATGCAGATTTTGCTGGGACCCACACAACCAGTGAAGATGGGCCAACCACGTATTGAAGTATCCAAGCACTGTATCCAAGTGCGTTCATCACTGTGATCTTCACTGCTATTGAAAATACTTTTTTTATTGAAAGCAAAACTTTTGTGGTATCAGACAGCACAGATATACCGTACACACTAGATTCGGCCATTTCAGGAACTTTGCTCAACGAATAACTGCGCACTATACACTATCTGAGCAATATAAAGTATTCAGCTACCGGAACACAGGTTTTGCGACAGTTTTTAAGAAAAATCGTTTGAGATAGCTGCGGCTGGTAACGGCATAGAAAGTCGTAATAATAGTGAATGTAGGGTCAGATTCACGAACATATGACTGCTGTCATTTGGCATAGGGATATACGTATATGGTATTAAAGACAATTTTCATCTCTTAACTAACATGCTTCAGACAATAATGAATCCTATTATTTCGAAGAAGAATGATCAAAATCCGAAAATTTTTGCTTGGAATTATAGCTTTTCTTGTTTTAGAACCACGTAACCACACAATTTTGATTTACAGGAGCATGTGAAATGTTTCCTTTTCGTTTTTCTTCGTCGTAACGTGTATTCCGAAAGCAGAAGCGGTTGAGCAGGCGGACCCAAGTGGGCGCCTTTCCTGGCGTTTGCAGCTGTACCGCTTGCGTTGGTACTTTGATTTTTGTTTTATTTCTCGCACGTCTTCATTCTGAGCAGTTCTACGGTATAGGAACAAGTTGTAAAATTCCTGTATGTGTTTAGTGGTTGAGCAAAGCTTCTATAGGCCTGTTAAGTTCTCTGACTACCCCATCGAAAATTTATCACATATCCTTTCCGAAAATCAGCGCTGTCCGTAGTGTGTTAAAGTAAATCTCTTTGTATCCAAGTTCATTCAGCTTTACATGAGAGCCGTTTTACGACATCCGCTTTTAATTGAAATCACACACTTACCGTAAACTGCACATCTGCTCTGCGATCACAATTCCTTTCAGTACTTCACCGCATTTGCGAATTAATTCTTTCTGCGAAAAATTTAACTGTTTTGGCTATTCAAAGATAATGTGGCCATCCATTTTGGCTGGAATGTGTTTCGTTCCAGCGTTCATAGAAAAGTGATAAACCACTAAGCTAAGGGAAAATTATGGACTCCAACATTATCTAAATTCTACATGTCCATATTACCACTAACAATATTTCACTGGATATATTGTATTGCACAAACTTAATAAAACGATCTTAAAGGATAAGAATTCATCCAACTGCCTACTTACCAAAGATTTTGTTTCGTGGATCTCTTTGCCTTATCCTCAACACTTGCCTCTACGCGTGAAAGTATAGTGGGTAAAGCTCCCATCGTTGATCAATCTCGAAAGGTTGCACCATGCATTCGACTCCATCAAGCATCGTTAAAGGTGACCAGATGCATATCTGATCCATACAATGACTTGTGGTGGCCTACCGATTACCAATTTTTTGTGAGTCCTTCGAAATAAACGAGTGAAAGGACGAAATGGTTCAAAAAAAAACTCCAAGACTTCACGTCTTGGCAACAATTGGCACAACGGATTATCTACACAGATCATGGTTGCTTTTGGAATCGACTAACTATGACCAGAACATTAGGTTATTTGAAAATACTATTTGAAGAAAAAAATTTGAAACATTTTCACGAACAGCACTCTAATGCTTGGGAAAGTAGCCATCCACAGCTTAATAAATTCTCTAGCCTCTTGTACAAAGACTCTTCCGCTGTCGAATTGTAGTGTCTAAAATTGACGAATTAGTTTCTGTTGGTGGGTTGATACACAAATAAGAAAATAAACACCTGCATATATGTATACACGTACTATCGGACGCATTGTGTGCTCGTTTAAATATATACATGGATTTATGTACCCTAACATGGATTTATGTACCTTAACATTTTGCTATAAATGTAGGGCGCGTGTGGCGCAGTGGTTGGAAGCGCCACTGTGACACACGTGGAATCGACTCCGTGCCCATGGCTCACCAAGCCTTCCATCTCTCTGGGATCGGCAAATTAGTACGACTTGTCTGGAAGATGAGCAGCACTGGCTCGATACATCGATTGGCCACCGCGAATCATTATAAAGACCAGATAGGCATTCAGTCACCTTCAACGATACTTAATGAAGCCGAATGCATGGCGCATCCCTCAGGGATTGATTAACGCCGAGACCGTGTTTATAAACATTTAGTCGCAATTAAACTACAAAACGCAAAAACCTTCTTCACCAGCATGGTTTAAACGCTCTTTTTGTTATAAACAAACAGAAATGACCATAATCTGTGTAGATAATCCGTTGTGCCCAATGTCGCCAGGACGTGAAGTCCTCGACTTTTCTTTTGATCCATCACTTCCTTCCACTCGTTTATTTCGAAGGACTCACAATAAAGTGGTAATCGCCGGCATTTATTAATGTGCTCTGTTTCGTAATTTATTTATTTTGTAGACGTTAATCCACCAGGAAGGGAAATTTCTATATTTCTTCTTGTTAGTGATTTATTATAGCTCATCTAATTTTAGAGCTCATCTAATTTTCTTGCAGTCTGCTTACCAGGTTTGTTTACGATATAATAGAGACTGGCTCAAAGATTTGTTGAACCTCACCGTTCATATGAGAATGCACTTCTGACTTCAAGACTTACCTGCTTCTCAAATTACATTGTTGGATAAACGAAACAGGGTTTTATCTTATTGATCAAGTGAGAAGTGTGTAGAATTTAAAACATGGCACTTATTTAACATTTACGGGAAGAAAGGCTCCGACGACTTGTGGGATGCTTTCGAAATGTCCATTATTGAATCAGAGCACATACAACGCTATGGTTAGAGGTGCACTATAATAAAAACTAAATCGTCCTCTGGCCCAACTCCGTTTCCGGGGAAGTCGAGCCCTCCATCTTTCTTGCGGGGTCGACAAATTGCTACCAAATTTTTCCGAAAGGTAATGAAAGCACTCCCTTGACACACCTGTAGATCACCGCAGGTCACTGTAGAGGCCAAATAGGGTTCCATTAACACGTAGGAAACCGAGATCTAACTAAAGAGAATGACTACGAATTCACCACAATTATCACTCACAACTAGTGCAGTATTTGTTGGCCTTGCTAGTCGCCAAACCTGTCATATAGCACATTTACTATGTTATTGTATAGATGGAACTAGAGTTTTTCTCGTGGTAGTTGTAAGGGTTATGGAAGTACCAAC